TTTGGTGTTCCCGTTGATCCACTAGTGAAGATGACATATGCTAGATTATCTGGTGTCACTGGTACACATGATAGGTGATCTTCATTGTAATAGTTTACTTGACAGTCCATTCTCAAATAATCATCGATGTTGATGAGTAAAGGAGCAAATGCAAATAGATGTTGTGTCATTGACTGAACAAAAACTAGACGACTGTTAGTTTGTTTGATGAGTGTCTTCAATCGATCTACAGGATCTCTTGGTGACAATGGACAATATGCAGCACCAGCCATTTGTATTGATAGTATGCCAATGATCTAACAAATCACAAGAGATAGAGATGAAAAATATGAGAATGTCAAAATCACTCACCATTGATAGACTTCTTTCCACACATTGACAAATGATATCGCCAACTTTCACATGATGGTTAATTATGAGATGAGCAGCTAGTTGTTTAACATAAAAGAAAAGTTCACTATATGTGAGACATTGATCATCCAGTTCAACGGCTATTTTCTGTGGATGAGCTATAGCACGTTCCGCTAAATCGCGGTGAATGCAATTGAGAGGTAGAGAATGATTTGGATGGGTTTTTAATAATTCTATTAGTCGCAATTCATTTGGTAATAATAACGATATCTCGAAGATTGGTCGCTGAAATGGATGATAGGATTGCGCGAAGACTTGTTTTGGTATAGTTAGAAATTGGTGCATTAGTTTCTGGATTGTGGTGAGATCGAACAAATCAGTAGATGCAAGGATAGTAAGGGAGAGTTGTCCGTTATTAAGATGATGCGTTATGTTGAATGATAGATCAAACTTTGTGACCACTTCGTTTGTACCTGTTTGCATTGAATGTGAAGCAATTTTGGAGTGCCCATGGCTTAAATTGAAGAAATCGTTACTGAGAGACGGTGGACGTGTGTCAAAGTGAAAGGATGTGTCCAAAAAAGCGGTTTTCGTGGATTTTGAATGTTGAGTAACAATACGTTGAACTGGGAAATACGAATGGTCGTTGCTTTTGATGAAGAGTGTGTGCACTTGTGAGAGAAGTGAGTGAAATGAATTATGAGGATCGATTTGACAACGAAGGGGAATGACGTTGACAAACATTCCAATGAGTGAATGTAACTCGCTCTTGTAGCGTCCAGGTGTATTCATGCTAACACATATGTCGCGTAATCCGTTGGTCAACTTGAACAAGAGAATATAGTAACAGGCAAGTGCGAGGCATTCAGGCGTGGTGTTCGACGACGTAGCATAGTCAAGAAATATTCGAGAGAGATCTTCACCGAAATCGATAGAAACCGATCGACCACGTCCTGTTCGATGTTTGTCTGAGACACGATGTCGATCAAATGGTAGTGGTAAAATTTGATCGATTTCACATCCTCGCAGAGTAGTCAGCCAAAACTCACTAGCAACCGCCATCTGCATTCGTCGTTCGATGATTGAATCTTAATATCAATATATAACGCTTATTTTTTTTTAATCCTCAAATATGAAGTGAACTCACAATCAAGATAGCGCAACTCTGTCTTCTTATTGGCTATCAACTCGCCTGTTGTGTAAGCGTGATTTAGATCACGGTAGAAGATATCCATCGATGCAATATCAAATAACGCATGATGAAAATTGAATATGACAAGATCTCCATCCTGAAGGATATCTTTGTGAGCGTTCTCGTTGTTATGAAGAATATGACAACGAAAGACCATGCCTTGAGCAAGATCGAAGTAATCAGGATTACTTCGTTCTTCATATTGAATCTTGGTTACCTCGGCATTTGTTTTGAATGTGCTCTCAATGAATGCAAACACACCATCATCAGTAGCATCGTTGACTTGTTGCAGCAGCATATCTTCTTTCGTATCATAGATGAGTGATGTACGAAGTGATTGATGCTTGAGAACAACAAGGTGTAGAGCACGTCGTAATCGACTGATTGGCAGAGTAACCTCACGTGAGATGTGATACATAAAAGGCATGTTGTGAATTGCTACTTGAAGG